GCAATGCCACGCGCCCCGTCTCCTTCACAAAAGTCATTGAGAGCACAGTACGCGCATGGGGCGGTGGTCGTTGCGATACCATCACGACAACACCGTCTCTTCCTGCTGACATGGCAAACTGTCGTCCTCTCCCTTCCGTTGACAGTGACGTTCTTGCCGACGGCTCTCAGGATTTTTTATTTATTTATTTTTATTTTTTATTAATTACTAACAAAACAGACAACCAAAGAGAATAAAATTCTGCTCCCATGACTTGAGTATATTTATTATATATTAAAAAATAATTAATAATTATACTTAAAAAATTAAATTGATTGAAAATAAATATAATATATTTAATTAATGTTAATTATTATAATTTTAAAATTCTATGATGATTTTTTTTATAAAAATTTCATTCTTAATAAAATTGAAAAATTATTTTACATGGAAGATATTCACTTTTATTTATGAATTACAACGTTGGGATGAGTTTGTTTAAAATAAAATATTTTCCATAATAAACATAGAATGATATAAAGAGATATTTAGCCAAAAAATAATGATAAAATATTTTTAAATTAGCATTGAATTAATATATATTAAATTTAAGCTTCATTTCAGATAATTTTCTTATTACTTTTTATAACAATTTCTTTTAGGATTTTTTTTTGAAAATAGTAAAAAAATTAATGATATATATATTAATTTAATTAAATGACTTTACTTCAAGTCATTCTTCTTGCTGAGTCTTTAGAATTGGGCAAATTATTAGGTCTGGTCACCGAACCTATTTCCAGGTCCGGACATCCAATAAAAATTTGCCACATGGATTGTGCTTTGACCAAACCTATTTCTAGGTCAATTTGCCATGTGAACTATGCTTTGATGTGCGCTTTTGACTGCGCTTTAGATGCGCTTTGACTGCACTTTACCTGCGCTTTTGACGTGTTTGATTTAAAATTTGGCGGACACGCATACATGCCATGTGACAAAATTTTAGTGGACGTCCGAACATAAAAATAGGTCCAGTAACCGACCTAGTAATTTGCCCTCAAATATATTCTTAAATGAAAATTTAACTCTTAGGCTTAGTTTGGTACTTTCTCTCAATTTGTAAAAGTTAGTTTTATAAACAATAGTTAAAAGAATAGAGTTTTCTAACGAATAAAATTTCTTAAAAAATATTTTTATAGAAGCATCTCATTCAAACAACGACTAAAAAAATTTCTCCATTTCTAAACAAATAAGAAAAAAATGCCGAAACAAATGAGGCATTCGGCTTCGAAAAACAACTTTTTAGAATGCTGTTTTACGAAGCGATAAAAAATTTATATTATTGTAATAATAGTGAAGGATAGGATGTTTTTCTTATTTTGCATTGAGATTATTGTAGCACTGGGTGAGAATTAATGCTATATATCCTATCCAATGCAAAGTAAGAACAATAAAATTCATCAGGCCTACAATTCTTTCATGATATTTTGAAGCAATTTTAAAATTTCCCTTCAAATATACATATCAATAAGGAATTATATATTAAAGTAGAGGAATTTCAATAAGAGGTCAGAACTCAAGCTGTAGATATCTATGGACAAATTTCTTACATTTTTTTTTTTTCTGGAAAACCACGCGGTAGATCGAAAGAGAAGGAGAAACAAAAAAACAAAAATATTAAGAAGATATTATTTGCCCACAAAATTAATACAGATTTTGGTGTTGCTGTCAGATTAAAATCAGGGAAGATAGAGCGAGGGATCACCGTCGACCCAGTGATTTTGGCTCCAATAAGCTGTCGGATCGGTGGCGCCGGCGAGGTCGTAGAGGCTTGTATCCATCGCCGGCGGCCAGTCGATGGCGCTATTGTTCGCCCGACCTGGAACCACCTGATGGATTATATCCTGCGACGTGATATCCTCTAGCTTTTGATGAGGATCTGGATGGCGGAGCAGCGGTGGATTGACGAAGTTGAATCCATGAATCGATTGACTGGATGTAACCGCCATGAGGTTCGAGAAGCTGGTTCCCGCCCCATCGGGAAATATTTCCGCCGCTCGGTCTGGCGCGGCCGCGAAGGGTTGATCGAAGCTAGGGTTAGGGGGATTGGGGTTGGAGGAAGAGGAATTGGGGAAAATTACAGAATCGGGAAGGGCGGCGGAGGCGTCGGCAGGATTTCGGCCGGAACTGTCACTGCTGGAACGGCTAGCAGAGGATCGACGGGATTTGGAATTAGAGGAGCGTTTGGGCTTGCGGCAGCCGCCGCCGACCGGCACGTTGCGTAAAACGCCGCCTTTTGTCCAGTAACGGCGACAAGACTTGCAGAAGTGGCGGGGCTGGGACAGATTGTAGTTGTTGTAATAGCAGAATTTGGTGTTCTGTGATTCACACCTTGGGCATTTCAATGGGGGCGGTGGATGGAGGGGAGACGGCGCCATCGTGGCGGATGGATAGGCTCTAAGCCGCCGGTTATCCCATCCGCCGCCTGTTCCGTCAGTAACCCCACCGAAGATCCTACCGGTACTCTGCCCCGTGATTGATTGAAAATCCTGCATTCCTCTCTGCTGTACTTCGAGGAAGGTCGGAAATCCGGCGAAGTTACTCTCCGCCGGCGGCAAAATAGCCCTCTCTATCTCTCTCTAACTCAGTCTATCTTGATCGCACACACAATATCACTCTCTCTTTTTCTCTCCTCTCGCACTCTATCTCGCCCGCGCACACACACAATCTCTCTCTCTCTCTCTCTCTCTCTCTCTCTCTCTCTCTTCTGCGAAATATCTCTGTATGTATCAATGAGAAATGTCTCGCTGCGGCCGTGCTGCCGATATGACTGTCCTGTCCGTAGCCAGCCCTTATGCGAATGTTTTGTAGGCAGCTTACCTTAGTATTTTGGTTAGAAATTTTAGCTATAATTAAGAGGTCTTAAATTTAAATTATATATATAATATATGTATTAATTTATCTTAATTAATTTAAATATTAATTAAATTAATTAAAAAATATTTTGTATCGAAAAAGTTTGGGCCAGACTTTTTTATTTTTTTAAAACGTTTTTAGAATAGATCTATTATTTTAAAAGGAATATAACTAGGAGAGAGAGGAGTTATTTCATTAATGTAAGTATTAAGAAATTTTATTTTAACAAATTTATAATCTAAATAAATATTTTGATTAGATGAATCCAATAACACTAAAAGCTCTATGATGTCAAGTCTAAACGGCCTAAATGAAGCATGAATGTATGTTAGAAAATTGATAATACCTAGGCCGAATAATTTATTCAATAATGGACATCAATGAGTGTCATTAACTTTTACCTTCGACAAATAGCCGTCGACTTTCATTGTTGCTTGAATGTTATCTCCTCATGTTAAGGGGTGTCAATTTTTGACATGGTCTGAAAATCAGAGTTGAATTCAGGGTACTAGAGTCAACCCGTTTCGCAAACAGGGAAGGTTCAAGTTTTAGGATTCAACCCGTTTGAAAAATAGGCCAGGTCTGGGTCAACTCGCTAACCCTAAGCTGACATAGACTAACCTGCTCCTCTTTGGTTCGCACTATGAGCCGGCCCTAACTCCTCTCTCCCGTCGCTCTTGCCCGAACGAGTACCACATGACCAGACGAGATCCTCTCTCGCTGCCACCTCTCCATCTCCCTGCTCCAGATGGCATTACCGCCGTTTGAAGTTGACACCACCGCTTCTCCCTCCTGAATATGAGGACGGGTTGACGAGTTGTGTCGGGTTGAACCAAGTCCAAATTAGGTTAGGTTTGGGTCTGAGAAAGTGACCGTTTGCGGGTTTGGGTCGGATCAACTTGATTGGGTCAGTTCCGAGTCTGCTGACCGAGTTGGACCCGAACTCAACCTTTGGACCCGATTTTGACAACCTTACTCATGCTATCAACCCCTATAGCTTGATAGTCATTTCCTGATTGTCGCCACCTTATATCAATTGATTTCATCAACCATCATCAGTAGATCACCTACACTGGTTGTTGATCAGCACTAATGTACACCACTTCTCATCATTTCTCAAGCATTTCTATTACTTTCATAAGATTTCAAGTCGACAATCCAAACATCGTAATCCCATCCCCCCACTTAAGGACAATGTCGAGCTTTTGTGCTATGCATTTTCATAGTAAATTATTTCACTTGGGCCAAATCTTTTTATTAGTTTTTTTCTTCTTAGAATTTTCGCGTAACAATTATAACATCTCTGGAGCTTATTTTATCTGTGCTTGATTGAATCTTTTTGCAACCATAAAATAGAAAATGCCCCTTTAATGCTATAAATTCCTAGCCAGCAACAAAATACCGTGAGTAATTTTTTTATCAAGCAAAATTTAATCTCATTTATAATGATTTTTTAAAAAATATTATTAAAATACTCATACTAAATTCACTTTATATCAAATTTATATATAAATTTAATATATAAAAAGTTTTTTGCTACAAAATTTCAAAATTATTATTATTTTTTGTTGTAAAGCACAACAAGATCGATGGTGTTCTACAATCATCTGCGATTAAGAAATATCCATTTTCTATTCGTTGAAGAGATTATTGCATTTAAACTCTCTAAGATAATATCTCTATTAAAGCCACTAAATATCCGTAGTTTTCTATGAATTATTCCATGACGCCTTTCGTATTAACTTTTATATTGATAGGATATTAAAAATATCCTCTATTCCAACATAATTTTTATAATGAATTATTTGTGTGTTAAAATAGAGTTTATATGGCACCAATTTCAATGTATTTTTAAATTTTAAAATAAAAAATTAAATTGAAAATCAAATCAACTTTGATTTTAGCAAACTAATAGTTATGTTGAACATCTCATGAACCTATGGATATTAAAAGTGATTCGATCCTACCCCATATGAGCCCAAATCAAATATTTGAGCTATGATTAAAAACTTCAAGATATCAAATATAGTGTTCTCGTAGTAAAACTGAGCGTCTTGATGAGACTGGTCTAATGGGGCCAGGATTGTTTATTTTTGACATTATTAACATACTTAAATGTTTTAAAAATAGTCTATGATCAAGAAAATTCATACAGGATGTCTGATAAAGTGTTCCAGGTTTTGATCACATTTAAAAAGGGCACCCCACTCTAACAAATCTATAAATAATCCCTAACTCTTTACATAAAAGGTTGGCTTAGATATAGTAACCTCCCGCTTAAGTACGCGCCCGTTTAAGTACGCAACATTTGGACAAAAAACATAGGGTTCAACATTTATAACTTGAAAATGTTATGAATGATATTTGACGTAAATTTTGCAATTTCTTACATCTTACATTGAGGGTGGCCGTCCGAGCATTTCTTTGAAATAGTTCAAAAGATTTTCTAAGATCATTAAATATATCTCTGACTTCTTGTACTGATCGGAAGATGAGCGTTCGGAAGACAACCGTGGCCTTCGCGTTGGAGCGTGCATATGAGTTTGAAATATGGAGTCGAGAGAGGGATGTGTGCGGCGTGGTTTACGAACTGGAGGTCGTGATGTGTGCAGTGTCGGTTGTGAAGGGAGGCTTGCGTGCGAACTGGAGGTCGCGAATGGCGTGGATTGCGAACTGAGCATTGGTTGTGAACGGGTTGCGAATGCAGGGAGTAACCCTAAGTACGCCTACCTGTTATCTACGCACGAAAATTTTCGATTCAATTTGCGTACATTACGGGGAGGCTACTGTACTTAGCTTAATATTGAATTATTTTGTTTTAATTTTTAATTTTCATTAATTAAAATGCTAATCAAATATCTTCCGTTTGGTTGAATTGAATGCTTGAAAAATCTTCTATTCATTAAAGACTTATGCTCCATTTGAAAATCTTCTATTAAACACAACAACAACAACAAAAAATCGAGCGGATAAGGCCTTAAAATGTGCTGTTTTATTAATTGTTTTAGATAGGAGCTGTTTCTAATAAATAAGAAAATAAATATCATTATTTTCCTAATTTGTCCTCCTACTGTAAAGAAGGATTTTAACCACCCTATCAATAACAGAGTAATCCACCAACAAAATTCACCTAACCAAACAGAGTATTTTTTTTTTTTTTTTTTTATAATTCAGGTTCAAACCAATCAGGGTCGCCGCCCACTTGGACCCCTGATATATTTGTAAAGCGTACGATGATCAAAGGATATGAATAAATATGGGTCGCTATTGATTTATTTTCTTGTAGTGAAGGGTCGAGCCAAATTCTAGACAATACCAACAGTTACTTATAAGTTTGTCCTGAAAATTAAAGATGGTTCCGCCCTTGAATATCGAGTGCTGAAAATAAACTCATCCATAAAAATATTATTTTCATTTGTCATCAAAATGTATATAATACTACAGTGCATAGCTACAGACAAGACTATAAAACAAAGAAAAAAAAAATATTAATCACGGCTGTACAAAATTTAAAAAGGTAAATACCTCTGTAGACTCAGATCAAAACTTGAAACTGCTAGTCAACTAAACCTTCCTTTTATTAGACCCTAAAATCACAGTGAGTTAACACAGCTCAACAGATCGCACATGTTGATCTAAATTTTCATTTATTTCTTCTATTAAGCATTTACCAAAATTATTAAATGTGATATAACCAATCATTGTACTGAGCAAGATCATTATAGCATGGCACTTATCCAAAAAGATAAATTATAATGCTAGAAAAATAAATAAATTGAAATCTCATATGAAATTTCATATCATAGAAGAAAGTGAAATAAATTTTTCCTTTCTCAAATAAAATCAAAAGATTATGACCCCTCGTAACTCCTAACATATAATTTTTTTTCTTAGACATAATATAAAGATTCTTGCCCTTTATAACTTCCAGCAGACAGATTTTAGAGAGTTCAAGATTTCCATCATCAGATAGAATATAAAAGATTCTAATCAAATGACAACATATGACTAATACATACTATATATTAGTTGTGTATTAAATTTATATTGGTGTGTATTAATTGCGTATTGGATAGTACACACTGTGTTTAGCTATATATTGGTGTGTACTAGTTGTGTATTGATGTGTACTAGCTGTATATTAGCTATGTATTATAATAAACACTGTGTAATAACCAATACACAACTAATACATAGTTAATATATAGCGTGTCACCCGAAGAAATTCAAATTGAACTTAGAGATTTGCAGTAATTCAAATCAATTTTTCACTTTTAAATGATCAAGGGTGTTAAAAACAGGTCAATCAGTCAGATTTCGACCCAAAATTGACCCAACTTGAGTTTAATTAATTCTTATTTGACCCGTTTAATAAATGGGTCAAAAAATGGATACGAACCTGACCTGCTAGCAACCAAACCCCGACCTAATATCCTATTTTAATTAAAAAATATTTTTATTAAAATTCTATTAACTTTTTAACCATATATTTTAGTTTAATTTATAGAAAATTATACCAATAAATAAAAGAATTTAAAGAAAATATATTAAATGAATCTTTTCCAATTCAAAACTAGGTTGAAGGGTGGAGTCATTTATTGACACCCCTAATGATTTAAGACTCTATTAAAGTGAATATAAGATATTATCAAGATATTTATTTTCAAAAATATTTTAAAAATAGGCATACTATGAGAGATAAAAAAAATTCAGATTTTTATATTTATAGGGTCTTTTTTTATATATATAATTGATTAGCCAAATTGGTTTAAAATGAATAAAGCTTTTAGATACACAATCAACTACTCCCTCATTCAAGTTGGTTGATGGATTTTTAGAACAATTCAACTTTCACATAAATTCTTGAGCAATTTTGTTAGCTGTGTCATATTAAAGATGCTATGGTGGATAACCTAATTTACTAACTACAATCACTTCTATTTTTTAATTT